TTAATTGTTAGGCTTTACTGTCCAGAACGTTGTAGGGATCTGACACTGAACACTAACATTCTGCCTTTCAGGAACCACTATTGACTCGAAGTGTTGGAAGCCAATAAAACACAAGGAACTAGACGCGCAATTGGCAAGAGCCTCAATTGTAGGAGATGACTGGATGCAACCATCTTAATTGTTTAAATAACTACTATCATTTCCCCCTTTTCCTCGTACAGGTCATGCAGTCGGAGAAAATCACTTCGAGGTTGAGGAGTTGAATAGACCAATCAGGACCGACCAAACTACCTATGGAAAACCCAAAGGAATTAGATTGGCTCCTGTGTTTTCTCCAGAACTTTCCGCTATGTATACCCATGTACAGTTTTATTATAGACACGTTTGGTTCCAGTAGAATAGACGCTTCTTCACTCATCTGTCTTTTGCTGAGTGCCATGCTATCGTGAGGCGTTGATTACTCAATCCGTTACAGACCAGTAAGTTTGACATCAGTAATATATAAGTGGTTGGAGCGCCTAGTCAGAAGGCAAATATGCCACCACACGGTCAATAGCGGGCTATTGGTATCAGCTGAGCACGGATTCCTTGAAAAGAGATCTTGTCTGGTGAATCTGCTGGTGTTCCTAGACGAGGTCACACGTAGAATTGATGAGGGTCTACCGGTGGAGGTATCCTATCTGAACTCAAAAAAAGTAGGAGCTCACACATCCGAGGAGAAAGCGGTCACAAGCCGTGTACTCCAACGATCCGTACTTGAACCACTGCCGTTCCTGCTATACATTAACGACCTAGCACGGGATCTCTAAAATCCCTGTTTTCTGTTTGCAGATGACGTCAAGATAGCTGGATGGGATCTAACAAGGGACTTAAAGGTAGTACAAAGATGGGCCACTAAATGTCTCTAAAGGTCAGATACTGACGACCAGAAATGACGAAGAAACAGCAAGGAGCTTGTCGATACAAAGGATGCACGAAGCAAAGCATCTAGGCATAGTGGTCACGCGGGATTTCAAACCCAGCACCCAATGTGTGAAGGCTGCAAACAAAGCCAGAGCACAACTGTTTCGTCTATGCGCAACGATGACATGCAGAAAACCGGAGGTGTTTGTCTCCCTGTACAAAAGCATCGTCCGCCCGCATCTGAAATATTGTGTGCAGGCTTGGAATCCGTTCTTTCGGAAGAACGCCGATACCCTAGAGAGGGTTCAACGTCTAGCCACGAGAATGATAGCTGGGCAACGGTGGAAGAGCTATAAACAGCGGCTCATATATTTAAGTCTGTTATCTCTCACACGGAGGAGGATGAGAGGAGACATAATCGAGACATTTGAGATCGCCAAGGGTATATCAGGTCTTAGGTTTGACGACCTGTACCCCTGGGTTCCGCATAGATGCACGCGGGGACATAACTAACGTTTGCAGCGAATCCACTCTAGGGTTCAACTGAGGAAAACGTTTTTCATTAACAGGGTAATTCCGTTGTGGAACCGGTTTGCTGTCACTGGTAAACTGAAGTACTGTGAATGCTTTTAAAAAGGCACTTGAGAGCGGTTTTCCCTGAGGTGAGCGTTTAGTACCAACTATAACCATGAGACCTTGAGACGCGGTACGTTCAAAATTTAACCTCTCTAGCGATTTGTGTAATTCTACAAGTTTTATACTCACTGGGCTCTTATTATTTTGTTTCGACCCGTAAAATCTTTCTTTATTACACCGTTCAATCTTTCGATGGCTGATAAAACCTCTCGCGGATCCTCCGACGGAGACACCTTCCCCATAAGGTTAGATGAGCCTGTGATAGACATGGATAAAACTGTTTCGTAAGCCAAAATGCTAGATATCATATAGGAACAAGCTTTAGAACTAGATAAGCTGAAGGCTGAAGTAACTGCTCTCGGCGACCAGGTTGCCAAACTCAACGCCCTCATTTTGAACTCCCCAGTTCACTCGGCGGCGGACCAAGCAATCAAAGTCTTCGAGCGGCAAATACTTGATACATCAAGAATGTTACAAGCAGACGCAAATGCTTCGAAAAGGGTTATGTTCTGGGGACATTTTCCGAGCCCCTTAACCCCTCAGGAAATGGCGAAATTAATCTTTAAACATCTGGATACGACGGCTTTCATGCCCGACAAATGCTCGTGGCTTATTCCAAAGAAAAGAAAAACTCCCCACGGCCTCGTAGTAGATAAGGGCTCTCCTTCTACAGTCTGTAAGCTCATCACGTTTACTCCATCCCTAAAACTATCCTGCAAGGGACTCAAAGGGGTATCGATTGATAAACCACTACACCTTAGGCTCCCTGTTGCGANACGCCCCCTATTTCCCCTCGACAGACTCCAAGCTTCTCCGAAGCGCCTTCGTACCGGTCCTACGTCTAGAAATTGACGTAACCCACTCACAGCCCATCGCACCCAAAGTTTTCCCCCCGAACGAGACAGTGGTCTGCCTCAAGCCAGTAGCATGCAGCTCGGCGAACACAAGTGTATGTTCTACGCACGCAGAGACCAATCGCAGAGAAAGGACATCGGTGGTTATGGTCCCCGGGACTACAAACCAGAAAAAGCAAACCCGGCCCAGAGCGATCAACGCCCTCCGGAGCAGAAAAGGCCTACTTGGTGATCCTCTCGTCCTAGAAAGTAACATAGTCATGGGGAAGAAATCGCTGCAGCTGCCTGCTGCTACTGCCCAGAAACTCAAGACCGTCCTTCCCACTCTCCCGAAGCCCACTAAGTTTTCTAAAACACAATACGGTTCCTCCCCGGCAGATCCTGCATCTCCAATATGCTATCGGTCATGGAGGGCCTAACTGAAGCCCATGATGACGGTTTGATTTTCCATGCAATCCTAGTTGACTTTGCCAAAGCCTTTGATCGGGTCACACACGATCCTCTACTCCATAAGCTGGAAACCTACGGCCTCACTGGCAGACTCCTTGCCCGGATTTAGGACTTTCTCACGAATCACGCCTTCTCACTTAGTGTAGGTTTGTCGCTCTGATCTGGTTCTTCAGTTTCCTCCGGAGTTCCTCAAGGCTCCGTTCTTGGCCCTCTACTCTTCCTTATGTATAATATTGATCTGCTACATATGATCGGAGTCAATGTCGCAATTTACATTGACGATGTAACTATCTGGGGCACTAATCTTATGGCTATTCAATCAACAGTGGATGCGGTCCAAGACTGGTTTGCAGACTGGAACCTTTCGAAAAATGACAATAAATGTGTCGGCATGTCTTTTGGGAGCGTTCCAGTGTATATGTTTAGTTCTAGCACCTCTTCAACTATGAAGTCCTCAGTTTCTGGGTGGCCAGATCACTCTTGTTCTCCTATCACCAAGAAAACGCCAGTAAATCCGCCTTCCGTGTGCTAAAATTCCTAAAATGTTTTTTCTCCAGAACAGATAGAGACGACTTTCGAATTCTCTATAGCACGTGCATTCAACCACTATTATAATACGGGATTCAAATTGCTCACTCTGGCGTGGTGAGCGGCTAGCCGAACTTACTTCCAACCTTTCGTAAGTTTCACAAAATGTCGTTTTCTCCAGACCCAATCCTTGTTTCTATTTTTTCTTGGGATGGATATCGGGAACGAACGTAAGCAAACATTAGTGACAGATTCTGACAAACATCAGTAACTATCAAGTCACTAAATTGGTGGGCCCGCATAAAACTGCCTCAACGTATTTTGGGAAGCAATCAGATTTTGGTGAGTTCGTTCCATATCTTTGGATTTTTGAACCATTTTCTATTCGTTTAGAAAATTTTAGCGAATTTTTGTGGTATTTTTACTTTACCATTTTCGCTCTCTGGACTCTCTTTTTTGATAGAGTTATTTGGGGTGGCGTATTTCATAAACCATTATTCAGTGTTTTTATTTTCGTCATTGATTTATTAGATTTATCAGACGAACCTGCTCCCGTGGTGCCGCCACTTTCCAACCACCTCCCTTTTGAGCATCTAACCCCAGGGCGTGGTTTGCGGTCCTGGAATCACAGTTAGCGATTAGGAACATTAAGTCTTCAGAGACCAAGTTCCACCACGTCGTTTCTTTGTTGCCTGAACACCTAGTAGCAAAGGTTTTGGACGAAGTTTTACAACCTCCCGAAGATGGGCCGTTTGAAGCCCTACGGGAAGCCATAAGAAAGAGCAAATCTGACGCGTACTCCAGAACATGCCGTTGGGCGACTGTAAGCCTTCGCAACTTTGGAGGCTGATGTGTAACGAGATGAGCAACATCCCACACGAGGACGCATTTGTTAGGGAACTGTGGTTACAAACGTTACCACAGAACATCCAACTCCTACTTGCTCCAGCGCAAGACATGCCCACGGAGCGTTTGACGGTTATGGCAGATCATGCCATGCAGTACCATCAACCCACAGTCACCCCGGTTACCCCCACCGTCCCTCCAGCTACATCTATCGACGGTTTCTTCCAGGCTTTCATCACAAAACTAAGCGTTTTTAGTACGGATAGAAAATCAAGTGATGCACGCAATCGAGCACTCGCCATAGATCAAGGTCGCCCAACAATAGTCAGTAATATTGTTGGTACCACGCACGTTTTGGTAAATATGCTGCCAAATGCATCAATCCGTGCTCGTGGAAGTGTCAACCCGTTTCGGGAGAAGACTAAGCCGACGACTGAATACGGTGTGATCCGTTAGCACATGAACTAGGAGTCACCTTTTCCACGTTAGGGACTCCATTAGTGGTATGTACTTCCTAATAGACACCGGTGCGAAAGTGAGCGTCATCCCTCCCTCCTCCACCGAAGCTAGGCTCCCAGCTCAAGCACTAACCTCGACTGCGGTTAACG